TTTTTCTAAATTAAACCAGCAACTACTGTCAACATGACATATTGCGCCGTGTTCCCTGTGCAGGCCACATGTAAATGTACCTACGCAGATGTTTTTGTGCTAAGCACCAACTGGTATCACTGATATAAATCATCAGTGTATAGGCTTAAACAAACTCGAAATAAGTCAAGTACCCAGCTGGTTTTCCTCTACTCACTGTAAAGACTTCAACACATCCCCTTCGAGTGTAGTTATACCTCGAACGGGTAGTCTTTCTGTGTGTATATTTGTTTCTCCTAATACTATTCATTTTATGCGGCAAGAAGCTTGGGAAAACGGTTCACTGAAAAATTATCATTTTATAAAGCAAGAAACTCCCGAAGACCGAAAAAAAAAGAAAAACATATATATTTAACAATAAGAATAGCGCTAAATTCTCAGACCATTTGGAAGATGCAGGAATTAATAATCAGACAGAAACAGATCAGAACCAAAGAATATTAATCATGCCCTTCGAGATGTTGGAAAATCAGTAGGAAAACTGATGATCCTGACAGCCTCCAAAGGGATGAAAACACCAAAACAAAAGAAACATTCAAATCTATTAAAATCAATCTTAAATAAATAAAAAACATTACGAAACACGTTTTTTCGTGCGTTTATTCCCGAGGTGGGATCCGTCTATATTATTGTCTTGTTTGACGACAGTACTCCGCAACTAAACCCGAACGTACCATCATCTATCCATCTGGGGGAAGGGATGGAAACGCAAGACTATGTCTTGTAGTGGCTGCTCGTACGACGCGCCCCGCCTTCATCTTGCCAACGATTGATGTGGGTGTCAACAACGATGGATGGACATTCGTACCTCGTACCTGTGTGTGGTGGTCCCTCGGTGGGCCAGAGTCCCTGCATAATCGGAAACCACAGGAACACTCCCCCTGCAGTATATACTTGCACGCAGCAGTCAGTGTGTCGAATGATGATCGATACAACTAGTTACTTTTTTTCTCGGTGAGGGGGAGCGAAGGCAGCCAAGGCGATGGTGATGTAGAGAGGGTATCAGGGGTGTTCCGCGGTAAAGACGAATTGTCTCTCCCGCGGCGAGGAAAAACTCGAATGCAAAACCGTTTTTGGATACATGTCTAAAACGACGATTAAAAGCATTAAAAAAAGAGAAACAAAAAAAAATGTGATCGAATCGCCTTGATTGTTTTTTTTCACCGCGTTGCCGATTTCGGCGCCTCCATTTCTCCCCGGCAATCAATTCCGCTTGGCCGATTTAGAGGGGCTAGAGCCACTCAGAAAGTTGATCAGACAAAAACTCGACGTGGGAACCGAGAATCCAAAATCCCAGGAATTTTGAAATTGCTCAGCTACTGTTAGCTTTTGAGCAGCTGAAAGTCCATTGCAAATCAAAACTGGGACATTCCAACAATATATTTGTGATCCCCACCCCAA